TGTTACAGAGACTATTTATAAATCATTCCTAATTTCCGTTATGGAGTTTCTTAAGAACAAAGCTTGTTCGGGGATGAACAAATTATTATAATCTGGGTGTACAAATGGAAGGTAATGCTATTGAATTAATGATGTCTCAGAGAGTTCAAGTGTTATCTTGCGTCACAAAAATATTGGCGGATCGCTTATTGCCAAGACTTCGTTATATGAACTGGCCTCATCCAATCAAATATTCTCATTTTACGAACAAAATGTTTTATAATATGATTTGAGATTCCCTTGTTTTCACTCAAGTGTGAATATTGATTTCAACATGGAAATCAAACTTGAGTAGATGGAGGTTCATTACGAAATTTCGTTCTCGAAATCATGTATTTTTTATCTTATCAACATAAATGCTTAACATAAATGAACTTGATACGAGTAATGAAATTTTTTCTTTAATAAATCTACGCAGTGATCAAAATTTAATGAAATATTAGTCATAATTTTCCATATTATAATTTTAAGATACGCAAGTCAGAATAAAATCTAATTATAGATTTGTTTTCTATCTTCGAATGGATTCCACTATCTTGTTAGTAGTCTAAATCTCTGTCCGGTACAGAGATACGTTTTAAGTAATTTAGCTCTAAACGAGTCGTACACCAATTATCCTTCTAGGCTTTAATCTGAGTTACAGATTTGCTTTTTTTTATCACAGTATATGCGAGTATGTTAATTTAAACAAATTTGTATTTTTATCCTTTGAAGACTATAGTTATTTCGTTTTTATTTAGTCTAAACTTACATAACATGACAAAGGAACGTCAATTTCTTATGATCGTCAAATCAAACTTCGCCGTCGTCTGTTGCTTAGGCGTTTCATTTCAAAGCAATTTGTTCGACGTCTCCCGTTGATCCGCTATCAAACTGTCCGCGGCCCCTCAACCACTACCAATATCTTATTGCTTTCCATCCAATTTCGCATCTAATGCCTTTCGGCTAGTTTCTGACCTGATTTACTTTGAATCATTTTTTTGCTGTATGAATTTATGTTTTTGATCGCATGGAAAGAGTATTAAGGTAACATGTTTTACAAGATGTGAGCTTGTTAGATTTACTTGCGATCCCTTTGAAAATACATGATTCAATATTAAGTTGGTAAATTGTATCTGAAGCATTCAAAAAAACAAAATAGGCGTAAGAGTGATCTAATAAAATATTCACAAAAACACAATGACTGCTTGAAAATAGATAAAGTTCTACCTTTCACTTCAAAATTCCATCAAAACGAGAGAAAAAATGGAGATTCGTTTCTAAGGAGAGTCAGTGAGTAGAAACATTCGTATGCAGATGGCGGTGGAGCTTGCCAACGTATCGTTTCGGTCCCAAGCGTGCCGACTAACGATTTAGATTCTGACGTACCTGAGACCCGATACTGTGCCTATAGAAGGCGATATCTGTTCCCAGGAAATGTACATGTAAATTTTCTCGAATACGGCATATATTTTGCTGTATGTAAGACATTGAAATAAAAGTTAAAAGATATAGAAAAAGGTGAAAGAGCTAATCCGATTTTCTTGAATCATTCATTTATGTGCATTGTTGAGTCAATAAAACTGATTGAGACGAGTAAGCTAAATAATTTAAAGAATAAATCTAATACGATTAGTAAAATAAACAGTGGTATAGGTAAAATTTTCTTATGTTCGTCCTAGATTACTTTCGTCTGAGGAAAGAAAATCTTGAAAAGAGAGAGAGAAGAGAAATGATAGTGTAAGTAAATGTTTCTGCTGCTACTGGAGTTATGAAGATTCAGTTTTGGTCTGGAACAGCAGCAGCAATTATGAAGGAAATTAGGCAAAGTAACTAGAAAAATATGAATTTGATCTATTTGGTATAATCTGTATATTTGCAAAATAACATTATAAGATTGGATGTAAAGAAAACTATAAATTTATTAAGTGTCCAAATCACAAGTGCTTTGTTGGGTCACAAGGGTCGGGCGAAATATCACACTGTGCAATGTTTCCACCTGCCCACGATGCTACCCAAACTTAGTATTCAGGACAGGTAACATAAAACCGAACAGGTGGCTAGGTTTTCAACTTCCAATATTCTACAGAGCACAGCAACATTTTTACTCATCGATTTTAAATTTCATCCTTAGTGTAGTATTATTAAATACAATATTATATTTCTTTAGAGCGGTGCAATTATTTAAATTTTTTAATAAAACATATAAAGTAGGGTTTGCTTACAAGTTGTTAAGTTCGTGGTGACCGATGCGTGACGACGTTCCCGTCGAGCCCCATTGAGCCGCGTCTGCAGTTGACATAGAGAGACCATTAGTCTTCCAACCGCCGGCAACAAAAACCATAACAGTTTTTTCTAAACTACACTATTGTCAAGAGTAACCCAATTTCTCGGTTGGGCTTTTCGACAACAGCCTATTCAAGTTACATATATCCGACTCTGACTTGCTTAACTTCCTCAATCAAAGCAATTTCGCTTTCTTCCTTTGCCTGCCTACAACACTTTCGTACATTGCTTAAATACTTAATTGTCAGGTTAATGGCAATAGGCTTGACCCCTAATACAAAAGTGCGCTTAAATTATAGTAATCAAAAATCTGGCGGTAATATTTAGCATCTAATATGCCTCTGCCTATCTTTTCAGGGATATATTTATGAGTGTACGTATGTGTGATGTATCCAAACCAATTTAATATAATCGTAAACTTAATAGAGTGTTTTAGAATTTTTTTGCAATTCTAGTTGTAACTTTCATCAAACATACAGAAAGTAAATTCATTGGAAAAGTTGGAACGCTATATGCTCTCGTCTCCGCTCGACGAGTGCCTTACGTCATCGTTGTTTGTGTTCGATGATTGTTTTGCTCACTTCCTTATTGTGTGATCAGCTTTTGATGTAAACCCCACACCCTAAAAACAACCCAACAACTTTCATTTTCACAACCTAAGAATTTCCATTCTTGTTGCTACAAAGAAAAGTTAATCAAGGTAGAAGTGGATCTCGTTCTGATTTCGTTGTGTTTTCGTGTTACGTAAATTGTTATTCGTTTCGTATTTGCAAGTAAGTTTTTTTCACACGTTCTAAGATTCTATATGAAAGAATTATAATTTTAATTGTTTGTTTGATATGCGAGAAGTCTTTTTGTATATGAACATACATCTATAATAATAAACGTGTGTGAATACCTTTCATTATGTACGTACTGTAAATATGTACCACTTCACTCGTTACACGTAATCCCTCTTTGTATTCAATGATTGCCTGTCAGAGATTGCCGCTTAATTCTACTTCGATTAATGGAGGAAGTACGGTGACTTGAATAGCTTTTACTCGTACATACTAATACCAAACCTATGCGCTGTGACGTGGAGTTACGGATAACAGCCTGTGTAAACTATACAATACCAAACACACTTACCACATAGCTGCGACACTCTAAAAAACAAATTAAGGATTTATTGGTATGGAGACACAAACTGGTTACAGACGAAATGTTTACTTTGAGTCCAGGCGACGATAGGCAATAAATACACTTTACCGGCTTTTAGACATCGTAAAAACGTTTTATATAGGTACTATCAAAGACCCACGATACTATCAAGATTGAAGTGGATTGACAGCGTATTTCAACACTAGCTTTATATGCATTTGTTTTATCAAATATAAAATAATTCATTTAGTAATGCAATATGATTCGTATGGGTCTGATCAAATAGATTTTAATTTAACAGCTAAGGAAAACCAATGGCACTTCAAGATTTTGGAAGATAATACATTTATTTAGCCATTCTTTCCAGGACCCTCAAATTTTTTCACATTATAAATTTTGCCAAGTATATCGGTGATGTCTTGAAAATTATCACCCGCAATGTGTTAAGATTTAGTCCTTGCTGTTATTATCGTTTTTGTGTAATGTAATTAATTAAATTTTCGTCAGTGTGAAGTATAATTATGGACTCGAATATATTTCCCTCCTTAACTTCTATTAGAGTTCATATTGGCAGTTTTCTGTAAAATCTTTTCTGAGGATGTTTTGTGTAGAGGCAAAACAGCCTTGCCTTCACTGTCACTTTGTTAAGGTTTATCTTTGACTGGTATCATCGTTGGAGATTACAAACCGGGGCTTGTACATCCTCGAGGTATGCAAATTCATAAGACAGCACCCTCGAACATTTAAGCAAGCGAAGGATGTCACCAAAAGGAGCAACATTAGAAATCCAAATAGACTTGTGTTGGACATGGTACCTAGGTCGAAAAGAATTCAAAAAAATTGTTACGCGATGTGCATTAAAATCTTCAATAAAATCCCAGAACGATTTAAAGAACTACCATTAAATAAGTTCATTCCAGCCCTGAAAGATTGGTTAATTACAAATACATTTTATTCGGTCAAAGACTTTTTGAATGGTGGAGAGTAGTAGGTATAATTAATAAAAGTGAAATTATGATCAATACACAAACACTGATGAATAATGATGATAATAATAATAATAATATATAATCATGTTAAATTCATAATAATAATAATAATGTTAAATTTGCATGCTATCTTTATGGCTAAATGGGCCTGTTCGCACTATATTGAACCTTTAATACCACAACATGTACCACCCCAGTTATAGCAAATATATAATTTGAATTTGAATTTGAATAAGATTTCCTCCCTTAATTATTGTTCAAGATAAAGCTGACTTAGATGTCTTATAATTACTTCGAGAAATAACTCCATCAATAGATATTACATACCCTTGAATTACCTACCATTCAACCAGATTGCACTGGTCGTGGGCACTGGTGGATTAGTTCAGCGGTGCATACCCTCCGTCGTCAAGATTTATGTTCCATCCGTTCATCCAACACATTTTCGATATTTTTTACTTATTTTTTCGTTAATTACTAAAGTAACAGTGTCTCTATTCTAAACCAAACCGACCGCAAACTATAGCAATAGTTGACTTAGGTGTCGTGTGAAAACTTTACATAATGTTGTGTTTATGTTTGTCCGCAGCCAATCGTCGCGTGATGGCGCATGGAGTGCGCGCGGACGGCGTGGTGCTGGTGCGCGGCACTGGTGCTCGTGACGCTGGTCTCCGCCGGCCCGCGCTACAGCTCACGCATCGTGCACACGCACGCAGGTACAACACAACAATCTCACTCAGAACTATATTGATTTACATACAAATATATTTACACATAAACCACCATCCCCATATCGATGGGCCGAATTTTATGTTAGTCCCTAATAGACGACATCCCCCCCCCCCCCCATCACGTACCTAATACGGACCTATTGCCTTCAACCCAACTTTTGAAATTAAAGGTAAGAGAATTGGATGCGAGAATCCCAAAATCGAACTAAGTGGCGTGCAACGGTTGAGGCCTATGTCCAGCAGTGGACTGCGATAGATATGATGATGATGATGATGAAATTGAAAGAATATTACCCATATTATGAACCCAGGTCTTTGAGGCGAGGGATGAGGGCCTCTATATCCTGTAACACCTGTTCCGACTTACCCCCGATATTACCATAATCCAGATATACGTTAAAAAGAGATTTCTGTTCTTTTCTTTTTTAAAAAAGACAACTCCCGCACTAGGAATAAATCCTGTGTCGCGGGGGACTTTACAAATATACATGAAACGGACACGAAGAACACCCAGACTCAGAACAAAAATGTGTGAATTACACAAAGTGTCGTCCCATGTGGGGATCGGACCCACAACACTCAGCGTAGTAGTGAGCGGCGTGGCGACCACTTAAACCACTACGCCATCCGTGCAGTCACTCATTTGAGCTCAGTGATCACTTTGTAAATAGCGATACAAATCGAATAGTAATTTTTAGACTTCACTTGAGATACACAAGTATCGGCCAAATTAATAGGCTTATAAATGTGTAGTATGTACTTGTAATGCCACATGTTTCGTAATCATTTGTTGCTTTTCACCGAGTAAGTCACCCGAGCCCTAAACCCATTCAAAGGGCGGGACGAAACGCGACTTCAAGAGCGGCAACACGTTCGGAATTCTTAGTTGCAGATGTCTACAGTACTACAATGTGTCCTGTCTGCTCGTTAGCCCCTAAGCCGCAATAAAAATCAAATCAGATTGAATAATAGAAATATAGAAAATATTTAATAATTTTCTAGTTATTAAAGTCTAAAAAGAAGAAATTCACTGTTTGAACGACGTAGGTACTCATCATTATTCTAGACTGCTTTTAGATTATTCTATCAAGAACTGTTTGTTTACTAAAGAAATTTAATTTGTATAATCCTATTAAAATGTGTATAATGTTATCTATTTATCGTTTGAGAGGGTGCCATTAAACTTGGCGCCCATCTAATTTTTTTTTTTTTTTTTCATCATTTGTTAGTCAGACTTTAGTGATAACACTTCTCCATATTTAAGGTTTTACTCAGATTAAGTTTGAAACATATCTATTTTATAAAACTTGATGTAAACACGATCTAACCGTCAGATTACCTACAGACGAACTAATCCCGCAGGTTTCTACCTACGCCCCATGTGACCCAGGCAAATCCTTGTTTAATTCCCCTGGATCATGAAACAATCCAATCAGGGGCGGCCTATGAGTGCCTACGACCCGGGAACATGGTGTTCAAAAGATATCGTACAGACGCAACATACAAAAGCGGGATTAAATTAATTATTGTTCGAAGGCTTTGAGGGTAAATGGGATAAACGGTATATTTGAAGATATTCTGAGCAAATGATACAGTTAATTTATTTATTTGATTCTACTTATGATCCTTATTGTTGAGACGTAAGCTGCTTTCATTCATCGTACGTTACCTTATAATTTTGTTATGCAATATTTAAAGTTATCGTTCTGATATTCATTTGGTTCTTTTAGTATTTTTTTTTTAAATTGAACGCAATAAATCTTGCCAATCATAATTCATACAGTCTGGAATCAAGTGTTATGAATGTGTCTTAGATCACTTATATGTCTAAGAGTATGGAGTGTCTAGATACAAGGCAACTCAAATAAACGGGCTTACTTTGTTTTGCTGCATGCAAATCCATGTTGCTGTGTGTGTACAAATCGACAGCGAGAACACGGCTGATACAAATGGCCACGGGTTTGACAGTGCACATATCATCTAGATCCAAGCCTAGTTCGTATAAAACTGTGGGAGTATTCTGTTGATGAACGATGAACCTAAAGAAATTCACGTGTATAATAAAAAGATATTACTGAACAATCTATATAATGTACAAAATTAAATTTCAAAGTTCTGAATATTTTTCTATTAGGTGCAATCCGCGGCATAATAGTGGAGCCAGCATCTCGTCGCTTGGAACCAGTGGAAGTGTTCCTCGGGGTCCCATACGCTGGGGCTCCGGTAAGATTAGCACCCCCACCCCCACCACCGACCTGGTCAGGTACCAGACTCGCCGACGCTTTTGCCCCCGTCTGTCCACAACGGTTCCCCGACATATCCAACAAGTAAGTTCTTATAAAAACCTGAATACTGTTTTTAAACGTATAAATTTATCAGAATATTTGGCCTTAAAAGTATAGTTATATTTAATATATAATACTTTACGATTTTTTTTATTAACAAAGAAATAATTATGAGATTTTTTTGTCAGGAGTGCAGCATTAATGAAAATGCCACTGGGAACGTACAACGAGCTGAAAGTGACGGTGCCACTCCTGGCAAACCAGAGCGAAGACTGTCTTTATCTGAATATTTACGTGCCCGGTAGCGGTAAGTTCAGTAGTTATGATCAAATTCTTTTTAAAACTAAGGCTAAGATAGACTCTTTAATTTTACCCGAGAGGGCAGGCGCTAGGAGGGATCCGGATGTCTTAATAACAGCAGTTCCCGGATCCCTCCTATTACAGGCGCAGAGTGGCACACCCGGTGGTTTTAGTCCGATTTCGACACACCACCCTCCCACAAACCTCGGTGGGATGACGGCCCGAGAGGGTTCCCACACGTAAAAAAAAATAAGTTTTAATTTTACAAAAACTTTACATTACCTGTGCCAGGATTTCACTTGTCATTAATCATTAAAATATTTTATTCATCACATCACATTATGAAACAATACTTACATATAATCATTTGTGTACTAGATAATTAGGCAGCTAACTATATGTTATTTTAGCATTAGTTTTTAGTAGGTAGTTATAGTTAGTTGGTTATTGTTACATCTCTGTATTATCTAAACTACTCTCAACGTTGTTAAAAAGATAGCTGGCCCTTTGGGACGTTTACGCGGGTACATTGATCCGACACGAAGGGATGTTTTGGAGAATTTTCATCTAAAATAGGCTTTGATAATCCACACCAACTCTATAGTGGTTCAGTAAAGGACGTTCCCAGAGGTACTAAAATATTATAAACTGGACTGTTTATTTGAGACGTAATGGTGTTTAGTAATAAGTGACCAAGATAAGTTCTACCTAAATTAAACACGGGTGTAAGTAGATAGATCATCAGCTTTTCTAAGATTGGAATCATGTTAAAAAAGCCAGTCAGTTACGAGTCGAACTCGTGCGCCAAGGGTTCCGTACCTACCCAGATTTTACGTGGTTTATTTTTTTATTTTTTACACGCCTTATATTAGCTTCACTTGTAAGTTTGTAACCGACTCCTTTTGGGCGTAATTTTGACTGACTTTAAACAGTCAGAATTCGTTCAAACTTTGTAGATATATCGAGGACCGATGACAATAAACTAATTTAAAAAAAATAAATAAAAAAATAATATAGTTCTAAAAAACTAAAAAACATTTTTTGGCATTATTCATTTATTTATGCTGTAAGGGGAACTACCATATAGGTTTTTGACCGAAAACCTATAGATTACTTCCGGTTGACCTAGAATTGTTAATATTGTTTAAAAGCAAGGTAAGCAAAAATAAAAAGAAAATTGAAAATCGAAATTTGCCCATATCTTTTAATCGTGTAAAAAATCAAGATCCTGAGACACTCAGGATCTTGATTTTTATACACCTAATAGGGACCATAGACCTCAGTATCTGGTATAAATTTCAACTTGCTAGGTCTACCAGTTTCTGAGAAAATCGGTGGTGACACACGGACAGACGGACAAACGAACAGACGGACAAGAAAGTGATCTTATAAGGGTTCCTTTTTTACCTTTTGAGGTACGGAACCCTAAAGAGGGTTAACTTGTAGTATAATTCCAAAAAAAATCTACTAACGTGGGTCCTAGATTGCTAGTATGCTTGTTTTGTCTCCACCAAAGCTAAATGTTTGACACATCTGATTACATTGGGTGTGATTCAACTCCAAAACTAGTATATCAAAAGCCATACGTCTTAGCTGGTATACTATTGCTTTTCGATAACTGACAATCAGATTCGAAACAAATGATTGTGCTCATCACATATTTATTTAGGTCATGGGTTCAAGGTCAGTAATTCAAGTTCAAGGTCAGTAATTAGGGGACGTAACCATTAAACCAACTGGATGGTCTTTTTATCAGATCAGTATGAATAAGCCACAAACCTGGTATTAAAAGTAGTTTAAATGTCTAGGAGCGCGCGGCGTGGAAGCGCCTTACGCGGTGGTGGTGTGGGCTGGAGCCGCCTCACACGAGTGGGGCACCGCCAACAGCATCGACGCGGCCGTACTGGCGGCCCGGGCGCATCTTCTCGTCGTTACTCTCAACTATAGGTTAGGTTTATTAGGTAAGTAGTTATAAAGGAATTTAATTTTCACCTTGGCAATTTACCAATGTTCAGTACTCAATTGTTTTGTTCCTTTTTTCCGATATTGTTGTAAATATAATATAAATATTTATTTATTTAGGTTATTTAACTCCGGGAGTAAAGTCTGACCCCGTACAGCTGGCTGGTGGAGCAGCTCTTTTAGATGTATCAGCAGCACTAGGTTGGGTACGACGCAATGTCGCCGCGTTTGGAGGAGATCCTCGAAGAGTTACGTTGGTTGGACATGGCGCTGGTGCCGGATTGGTCAACGCGCTTTTGATGATGCCGGATAGTAAAGGTACATCCTACAGTATCATACAGTACCTATTTCAAAATAAACTCCGTTAGTAAATAAAATCAATATTTTCTGTTGAGACTCGTGAATAAACAACGAAGTTCCGTATTATTTTGCGTATTTTACTCCTTTTTATCATTTGACCTTTCATTTAGATATGTCATACTATTTTATTCGGTCTCCCAGGTCTGGTATCCCGAGTACTACTACTAAGTGGATCAGCTTTAAGCCCTACAGCACTTACACCTGATGCAGCACTATCAAGAGAACACACGGCACAAGCACTTCGGTGTACACCAGAATCGTCTAATGATGAAAATTGGTAAGAGATTTCAGATTAAGCTAGCATACAACTGACAGCAGAGCCTTTGTGATTGTATTTAGCAAGGACAGTTAAGATGGAGTTGGAATCCTCGCTTAAATTGGAATTTCCTTAATAAAGACGTACCTCGATTTTAATGGCGATAATTCTTATGAATAGTTTAGGCTTTTGTTCTTATGAATAGAATCCATAGAGCTCCTTTGAAATATAATATACGGGTTTATATGATCCAGGTCATAAACTATAAACAGCTGCTGCCATTTTAGAGTTAGGTGGATAGAAAAGTATTCACGTATATAATAGGTACTTTTATACACGTGTACTTGTTTGTGAAAATCGCCTATTAAACATCCTTAGGTTTGTGGAATGCATCCGAGCACGGCCCTTAGCAGCACTTCTAGCTGTCGATGCTCCTCGAGCCCGCTTCCTTGCCGGCTGGGCACCATCTGTGCCCGTATCCAAGGACGCACCTACACAGTCTCAGGCACCAACCAGGGCACTTCATGCCAGTGAAGCGTTCCTGGACTGTGCACTAGCAGTTGTTGTGGCTACGACAGAGAGTTATATGTTTTTCAACGAAGAAGATATACGGCATGGGTTTGAGGAGGAGCACAGGTACCTACTCTCTACGTATTAATAACAATCATAACTTTACACATCTCACACATGGCTGTCTGTTCCCAAACTAGGCAGAACCTGTATTACGGTAACCATGTTGCCTTAAAAGGCACTTATATATTTCTAAATACATACAAATTATAGATAAATTACTCGCAGATAGAACAAATGATCCGTGCTCATCACACTATTATTTGTCCTGGGTTGGAAGTTAACCTTCGACCTCCTATTTAGCTGTCAGAGTCACTAACCACTAGACCAAATCAGTCAAACAATGTAATAATATTACCTTTGCAAATGAAGCTAGTCTGGTTTATTGGTAGAAAGTCTGATAAAAGTGTTATTCTTTACATTTAAAGTCATTGCTCATTGACATAAATATGCTTATTATTGATGCACATGTTTATTAGTATATCTCAAATTAACCAATAGTCTAAAGAGAATAATAATGGAAAACCTGTTTTTTTTTTTTGTAAACGGGGTGTGAAAATGTAATTCTATAACGAAATATCGAATACACATTATATATAAACCACAAATGGGATTGAGAAATGTTTGGGCATTAGTAGTAACAGAATTCTAAATAAAAATATGCGCAAACTGGCCATAGTCTTACTTAATATTTATGTTTTATTATCGTGCTGAACGAAGAACACCCGAAACTTTGAATTTGAAGTTCTCTTGCGATGCAAGACAAGTCATTTACAAGATATGCTGGGACTTTGAGAGACGATACGTCATAGGCACCTCCAAATTATTGCATTATTTAATACCAACTGCTCAGTGAAGTTCCTACCCCTGTACCTTACGAATATATGTTATCTTGAACTGATTATTCATGTTGTCCAGGAACCGCATTCTTCGCACATACGTCCGCAATGTTTACCGCTTTCACCGGAACGAGATATTTGCGGCCATCCGCAACGAGTACACGGACTGGGAGAAACCCATCCAGCATCCAATCAATATCCGCGACGCGACACTGGAGTCTCTCAGCGATGCTGCCGTTACCGCTCCAGCGCTGAGAGTAGCTCAGCTACATGCGAGGAGAGGAGCCAAAACATTCTTTGCACACTTCGCCCATCAAAGTAAAGATGCTGACTACCCACAGGTATTACAAGCGACTTTGCAAAATCGTTATTTTTTTTTTATAAACAACTTAATCTTTTAAACATCTATCATTATTAACATTATGTTTTGTAAAATCCTGACATTGCAAGAAAATATTTCATTCACTTCTTAATTAATTAAGTTTGAAGTAAAATCCCTCCCGTAGAAATGCAAATAAAATGCTAATTGGTCGTTATATAAATTTCACAAAATTTGAGGTAAAAAATTACAATATGATTTTGAGGCCTTCAGATTTTTGGGCAGGTATAATGAGGTCATTTGTAGTAGTTTAAATAAAAAAATGCAAATGTTAGAATCAGATACTGTTGATACAACAATTTTTTTTTCTACATCGTCAGAGCAATCATTAATACATTTCTATAAACTTCAGAGTAGGCTAGAACTTTTCGATACAATACATCACGGTTAACAAAGTTGGGAACTACTTAATGTAATATTCATAAAGTGGGCGTCTTAATTAATTAACTTGACAATAAGTGTAGGGGGGAGGTATGTAACATGGCGTCTGATTTACGTACGAGCTCATTAATTTTCCCTACTCTACATAATTACAAAATTTGTCATAACTTTACGCTTTGAGATCATTTGCATAGTCGTTCATCAATTTGTCTTTATTGGTTTATTAATTACAAAATTATTCGTTCTCCCTTAAAATTATTTGATTGGTGCGGATGGTCAAGCAGTAGATTGGCATACAGATATAATTTTATTATTGCTCACTGCTATGTGGATTTGTATTCAGCATTGCAACAATTTTTTTTGGTGACGGATTAAGAATACAGAGTGTCACCACCCTAAGGGAGGGAAACTACGGAGAACGACCACACTGCAAAGAGAAGGAAAACTTGAAACAAACCCTATACCAACCCGTCTGGCCAGCGTGGTGTAGTAGGCCAAAACCTCCTTTCTGAGGAGAGGCCTATGTCCAGCAGTGAACTAGTAAAGGCTGTTGATGACGATGATTGCAAATATTTTGATAATGTCTATCTACGGTTATTCTATGAATAACACGTAGAATAGAACAGACTAGAATTAAAATACGTGTGCAAAGGCTAGTTTTCTACGCTAAATGCAATTTCTTTCAAGCAAAATTTACCTTGATCTATCTTAACACATATGTTTAGTATTGTTCCAAAACACGCAGTACAAGATATCATTATTGTAAGAGTAAAATCTCACTTATAGGTTAACCTAGCATTTGGGAATCAATGGAAGAACCGCCTAACGTAGAAATTACCAATAGGAGGTCTCACAAGATTTGCAATACCAAGTAACATTGCGATTCCTATAGTTTTGAGTCCCAAAGTCCGCAGTAAAATTTAAAGTAATTCTGTAAAGAAATCGGAAGATGATAGTGAATTACAAAAAAAACCTTCGTCTTATCGGTGTTTTCGCGATTCGTATCAAAGTAACTTCTGCATGAAACTATGAAACTGAAACAGTCTCTATGAAATCTTTTCTTTAACAGCGTTTGGGCAGCGTATCTTATGAAACGCTTCCATACTTCCTCGGCCTCCCTTTGGTCGGAGGCATGCAGTTTGCCCCTCGAAACTATTCCCGGGGAGATGTGGCAGTCGCGGAAATGACCGTCTCTTTGCTAGCAGCTTTCGCCAAAACTGGAGACCCTACACCAAGAGTAGACGAAAGGCACCATGAAGGGACGAGCTGGCCAAGATATGATATGAATACGCAACAGTATTTAAGTATAGGTAAGACTTTATTGAAACAATTATAAAGAATATAAGTACTTTTATTCAGTAATGTATCATAATTAATGAATTATTTAAGTAATTTATCCAACGAAGAGCGACTCGAATCGTCGATAGCCCAAACATCTCCGATCGCTTCGATCCCTTGGTGTTACGTAGAGATGTGGCTTCACTCTGCGTTTGCTATTGCATGTATCATGGAGAGTGCTCCGAGGAATTTTTCGGACTAATACCAGTCGCAACTTTCCGCCATCGTTCCACAGAGCAAAATTTTCATCCTCATCACCTGGATAGTTGGCGCTCCACTACAGTGCGTTTTTCGAGGCACTTTTTGCCCCGCAAACCAATCTGTGAAACGTTAAAAGGCCGGCAACGCGTTTGTGACTCCTGAGTTATCTGACAGACGTTCATGGGCGGCGATAGTCACTTTCCATCATGTGACACGTCTGCCCCCTCTAACATAAAAAAAATACAAAAGACTGTTAATGATAATGTAAATACTAAAATAGAATTACCATATATATACTTTATGGGAATATTATATTCAAATTAGTCATTGAATTGAATTCGTACTTTCTACATTATATTATATACCTGTCCATTAAAAAAAGTAAAAAAAATAAAAAAGATGATGTCAAAAAAATACTAATAGAAACACGTGCAAGTAATTTAAATTTATTACTTTTTATTTTCTAGTAGGAAAAGGCACAACTAGAAACAATGCAAATGCTCTGTACCCACCTATTACTCGTACTAGGTATAACATCGTAATATAAAAGAATGTAACACACAAAAATTTATCCTCAATGCAGAAAGCTTCATTTTTTCCTGTTTCTACTACACAGGATGTTACAGAAAGGTGTAACATGTAGGATTCACCTAAGCAAAAAAATAATTAATAAATAATAAACTTTATTTAGGAAGGAAAAAAAACGAATTTGCCTTCTGAATATAATCAATATACACATGTGTAATTTTATTCACGCAGACCTTGCGTGAATAAAATTACACTCTTACCGAATATTAGTTTTATAATTCAATTTTTAAGTGTTAATAATATGACTATTTAGGTTAGATTATTGTTAATGTTACGCTTAGGGTCTACTTAGAGAACTCTCAAATATTATGATTTTTTTGTTGAAACATTCTACATACTTTTGAATTTTAGCAAAACTTAGAATTTTGCTACTTATGAGCTATTGACTCTTTCTAATTTAATGATAAATACATAATTACAAAGCGTTGTTGTTGGTTTGCATCAAAACACGCTAGTTAAAGTTCGATAAAATTCATCCAAGCTAATGAAAATCAAACTCATTACGAAGATAACAAGAATTTTTCATACAAAGTGATCTGAAAATAAAATCTTGCCGCAAAAAGTTAATCAGATAAAACTCCATTTGAAGTTGGGCCGTATTGTACCCAGACTCGTTATTTTTACGATATTATCCTCCGAATGTGCGTGTTTTCTTACATCCCACCCATCTCAGTAGGAGAGCTAACCAACTTTTTTTAATCCTCTCACTTGAATGGACGGTCGGCATTTTCAAATATCGGCCAAAGGACGATAAATACGTGTGATTTGAAAAAAACAATTGAAAACTATATGTGACATTATTTGTTTAGGTCGCAATATTGATTTCGTTCTACAAAGCAAATTGTACCTTTTACCTCAAGTTTTAGAATACAGGTGTGCATTTACCAGTTAAATATTTATATCAGCCATATGTTTTCCCTGACCAGGTACTAAGTTGCGCGTGAAATCCCACTACCGCGGTCACAAAATGGCACTGTGGTTACACTTAATACCTCAGCTACACAGACCGGGGGCCGCGCCCAGACACCACCAGTTTCGATCTGTTCATCCGGACATGTTTGCAGGTAAGTGCTATCACATTTACTGTATATTGTCACACTTGTGAAGTAACTGCGTCCTATTCTAATAATTCTATACAATCTATTGGTAAGTTATCTGAGTTATTTTACCAAATCCTACATCCATTTAAAGTTTTTGGTAAGGAATATAATTTCCCGTACACTGTAGCTTGTCGCCCGAAACTGAATTTAGCAAATCTGTACAAGTTTTAACGTATAAATCAAAACGGAATACCAATTACTGGTCCGACCTGACTAGAATCTTTTAGCCGTTTCTCGTGAATAGAGAGCCAAATTTGGCCAATCATGGGCCAACGTGGGCGCAGCTTTAATGGAAGGCAAATTGGTAACGTCTACCGCTGGTTAAATTGAGCATGCCTTATTATCCAGTGCCATTAGTGGCGTTTCCTGGCGCGGCGCGTAAACGGAACGCGTTCATTAACCGCTTCCCTCGCCCATTATAAGCGTTTCGAAACACTATAGCGCAGAACTGCCGAGCGTGAGTTGAATCGCGGCCGAGACCGACACGGCGAATTGTAGTCAATAACACGCACGAGATTGTATTAATTGAAGCGGATTCGTCACTGAAACTTCTCTCCACACTGAATACTAAATGTAATTGTTGTTCAAAGCGAGTTATGCTAGGAATTGTTCAAGCGGGAGATCTTGTTTAGGTAACACATTAACAGTTGGCCGATTCTAGCAAATTTTGTTTTATTATTCAGCACCATTACAGGCACGAGAATGTATAAAGTTGGAATTTATAAAAATTGACACCGTAAAATATTTGCTGGATAAGTGATTAATGTGCCCAGGGGAGCCCAGAATGAGAATAAATCGATCTGGGAGTGTTTCGGGGGTAGACGGGGGTTGTTATTAATTGTCGTGCGTTCGCGGCCAAATTCCTGTATAATGAAGGGAATTCAAAGAATGGCGCGGTCTCCATGGAGGAACAATGTGCCCTTTGTCACGGCCAAGTTCACTGGGATTATGTGCGTATTCTTGTGAAATAAATTGTGTATCGTTATTTAGTATGAAATATTTACGTGTGAACCAAATGCTTTTCTTGAAGGTTTTTCTGAAGTGCTTTTAAATGAATATTTTTAACCTTCAAATAGATGTATTTTTTATTTAAATTACACGGTTTCCTAAGCTTACATGCCATCTGCTTAGTATCATATATCTAAAAAGTCTATATCTAGAAATTTACGTTTTGGTACTGAATTTACCAAGTGCAGGGCATTAGTAGTTTATTAGTATACTTAATTAGCCACCGATTTTGTTGCTCCTGAATGAAATAGTGGAATCTAGTACATTGTATTCTTCATTCGCCATTTTCTTCACTGTAAGGCATGTTTAGTTTTTCTTCAGATATTGAATGGGCAAAAAATAAAGGATTTTTCAACACGGTTCATAAAAAACGAAATTCTGAGATAAAAAACCTAAAAGAAAATCAACCGAATTGAGGACCAAACTTAACCGAATTTATAAAGGAGAACTTTTTGAATTGGGTGTGTGAGCGTCTACAGTTTATTTTATCAAGTTCGAATGGAAATTTTACAGAGTATATGGGTTTGTCTTATACCTATTCTGTAATAAAATACCGATTTTACTTCACAAAGTATGTGACCAATACTTTCGCCATTAACACCCACCATTCCAAAAGCTGAAGAAACAGAACATGACTTTGCCTTTAAAGTTCTATGCAATCCTCTATTCACTCCAAAAGACTTTAAAAGAAAAACTCAGGCAGATTAAGCACGCCTTTGTAGATAACATTTCTTCGTTTTTAAAACATTCTCATTCATGGTGTTACAATAAAGAAAAAATAAAACGTAAATGTACACTTTCAATGTTGCTAAAGCATTTATAACTATAATTTTTCTATAACAAATTAAAGTCATAGTCAATAATTTCTTTCTAAAACAATTTACAAACGTCAAAATGTCACTTAAAAATAACTTTTCTTGTAACTATGTTTTAAATTCTAATCTGGGAGCATTCATCAGTTTAATTTTGACTTCGTTGACAGTTTTATTAGATTAATTGTACATTCAATATTTTAATAATATTTGACTTCATAAATAAATCGACGTTTTCGCTCTGTACTTTATGTGAACACACTTTCTCATTTCGACAAGAGCTTTGACGCCGGTTTCATATAATAAATTTTCAAAAATACACCCATTTCAAAAATCTGTTCAAAGATTTAAAGAGTGAAGTAGATACTCAAACAGTTGGACAGATTTTCACTTGCACAAGTTTTTTTAAATCAAAAAAACCCAATATTAATAGTAAATAATTTCGGACACCTAACACACAACGCCATCTAGTTTCAAACTAAGCAGAGTTTGTATTATGAAAGCTAGATTGCCTGATAGAATACCTATATACTTTTTTTGTAAATATATACATATTATACATAGAAAACACCCAAACTCGGAAACAAAAATTTGCTATTAGAACATACAAACACCTCATCACAGGAGTCGCATACGCTATCACTTCACCACAGAGGTAGTCAGTGATGCCTTGGGTATCCAGATATATGGATATAGTTCTCTCACTTTATTTCAGGGTGAATTTAGATATTAAAGTTTTACACAAGTTAATAATGTCTGCAAGCATATCGTAACGTACCAAGTTTAAAAAGGTATCGCACTCTGTAACACTTGTGTAACACATAGTGCGGTTACAACCGCACCTACCTCCTACGCTCCAAACTTCTGACCAACATCGCGCTACACCCCTCCGATCCTTGTTCGCAATAAATCGTCCACATAATTAGTACATAAATTTAAGTTGTTTATGTTTTCATTTTAATTATTGATGGAATTAAAAAATGGTGTTGGAAATAAAAGTATTTTCAGTTAGGGTTTTTTTGTCACGTCCGTGTATTGACGGATTCAAAATACACTGTGTCTAAAAAGCCGACTAAGGGAGCAAACTACGCAGGACAACAGCACTGCAAAGAGAAGGAGAACTTGATACAAACCCTATACCAACCCGTCTGGCCAGTAGGCCAAAACCTCCTTTCTAAGGAGAGGCATATGTCCAGCAGTGGACTACTAATGGCTGTTGATGCAATGTGATGTCCGTGGTATTAAATCAAGTTGTTCAATATTGATTGCTTCAGGTGATATGACAAAATTTGTACGAAAATGAATGACAAACTAAGTATATAACTAGGAACAAAATCAAATATTTGTATTCTCATTAAAAATATTGCATTCAGTTTCAATAAAATATTTTCTCTAGCGGTTAAATTTACATTTTATTGAGTGAGTTTTAATTAGGTTTTAAAAAAGTATTATCTTATTCAATACGCCCAAACGCTGATTCATTGTAATATAATAGTCTTAGAACATTTTCCTAAATATTTTTTTGTTTATATAAAAATTTAAAGCGATTTACGAATAGGCAAGATATCGCGTAACACAAAAAAAAAAAAAAAAAAAACAAAGGGATTGACAATTGCCTCAAAAAAACGTATAACTTAATTAATATATAATAGGATATACCTATACGAGAACAAACAAACATTAAGTAACCATGGCCAGTAGACCAGACAATTCAAGGTCATCCCCTGTTACGTGTTTGCTTTTGAGAAAAATTAACGTAAACGATGAATTCCCCTTTAAATACATAATTGTTATATCATAGTAAAACAATTACATTTGCTAACTATATATTGTAAATATATTCAACCATTTAAATTATGGAAAGGTCTATGCTCGGCGTTTCTCTAAGGGATGGTATCAGGAATAAGGTGATCCGGCAGACCACCAAGGTGACCGACATAACCTACCGGATTAGCAAGCTGAAGTGGCAGTGGGCTGGCCATATTAGCAGCAGAACCGACAACCCTTGGGGAAAACGAGTTCTTGAGTGGAGACCGCGTCTCGGCAAACATAGGCCAGGTGGAGTGATGATTTGTGCAAGATGGCTGGCAGGAGCTGGATGCGAGAAGCCCAAAATCGATCTAAGTGTCGTGCAATGGAAGAGGCCTAAGTCCAGCAGTAGACTGCGATAGCTGATGATGATGATTTAAATTATAGATCACAAGATACAAACTGCAATCCGTTTTCTTACTTTTATAATCACATAGGTGTTTCAATGATTGGCTCACATCTAAATTATCCTAAATGGGATATCTAAATTATCCTAATATTTTAATTAGTGGTATCTTTCACCTTTAATAATGGATTTAGTGATTTAAAGTTAAGTAACTAAACAACTAAAGTAATTCAGACTTGCGATATATCTTCGAATCTTAACCCCACCGAGCTTACTATCGACATGACCGCGTTTATAATACAAACATTTAACTTAATTAAAGCAGTTCTTTAACAAAAATATGACTAATGTATGACCCGCCTAACTAGTCAAACCAAATTGAGCCTAATAAGGTGAAAGTAAGAGGGTTCTGTGTTCCTGGAGCCAAGCCGAATTACTGATGTTCCTGTGTTATTAGAGCAATAGCTTACACTCTCAAAACCATCTATGTAAGTAAAGTATCTCTCCTGCCATTACCTGCCCATCCTGGAAGAGCCGTGTTTCAACACTCAGCACAGGGCCGGCTCGACCGGAGCGATACCTTACAGAAAATCTGCGTTAAGCTCTTGTTTGGTTGCTTTTAATCGAATAAGTGAGGTAACTGGAGCCCAGAAACCACCCTCCCCCTGAATCTAGGGACGAGGGGGGGGGGCAGAAGGACAGCAATGCACTTGTGACTTCTGAGTTGCAGGTGTCTATCGGCGGCGGTAGTCACTTACCATCAGTGACCCGTCTGCTTGTTTGCCCCCCTCTGATTCGTAAAGTGGCCTGTTGATGGCAATAGACTCATGTCGCGTAAGTAGCAATAACATTTTAATTCCCAGAATGTGGGCCCTTAAAACGACTCGTCTCACTTATTCAATAATATTGGTGCATGTACATGAGCAGTCCAGGCCTATGTCCAGCAGTGGACTAGTATAGGCTGTTGATGATGATGATGTGATGTGACATGAGCAGTGTATGTACTGTGAATGGGTACGTTCCGCCATTGTTCCACACGGCTAAATTTTCATCCCATTTAGTAATTCACTCTCCACCACTGTGCGCTTTTCAAGACACTTTTTGCCTCGCACAACTAATATGTGGAACAAGTTATCATCTGCGGTATTTTAAGACCGATACGACCTTCAAACCTTCAAGAAAAATTTACTCCTTCCTAAAGGGCCGGCAACGCGCTTGTGACTCCTGAATTACAGGCGTTCATGGACGGCGATGGTCGCTTTCCATCAGGTGACCCGTCTGCTCATGTCCCCTCTTACATAAAGAAAAAAACAACATAAGTATAAAACTTAATTCCGTTTCATCTATCAGATATTCAGGTCTCTCAATTACGTTTAAAAAAGGTATCCACTCAAAATACTTATTTTAATGGCTACGAAATATGAGCAAGGGTAAATATAAAATGTTGTGGGCGAGGGTTAACTGTCGATAACTGAATTTCGGCTAGGGGTGAGATTCCGTAGGTTTGTTGTGGTTTCTTTGCTCTGCCTCTGGACTACCGGTAGGGTTGTATAAGGTCGTTATTTATATAATAATGATTTATACTCGTATTACACATATTATCAACTGAACGCGAGACAATTTGACTTATTTTTCTTAAAATCGTTTGCAGCTTTTTATTATATTTGCATAATAGTACTTGTGTATGTTATCGCTATCTACTAATGCAAACAATATGAAGCATCCCGATCTTGTTTGCAAGCAAAAATTAATTTCTATCGTATTTTTCAGTTATTCAAACAAATGATACGCGTTCAAATTTGATTACTAAAAACAAAAAAAAAAAAAAAAAGTTCCTTAGTAAAAACTTCAAGACTTAAAGAAAGTATAAAAGAATTCTTCTGTAGTCATACCTAGCAAAATTAAACCTGGTCAACTTTATTCGTGCTTAAAAATCTACTACATATGATCAACTTTATGTTTATCAAAACATCTAAAGATTCCACTGAAAGTCAATTCTATAATTAAACAGAAAGCATTACAAAAGCGAATTATAGAATTGATTTCAAATCTAAACATGGGTTGTCTATAACCTAGAAACGTTTCCCTTCCGTTCAGCCCTACGGCACAATGTGCCGTGAGGCGAGAGCCCGACAATCATCCTTTGTAGGAGTAGGCACAACTTGGGACCAAGGCTTTGTATTGATAACTATTCATTACCACCCTTTGATAAGTTGAAGATCGGTTTCTTGTGTGGTTCACATGTCGGTGTGGATACCTGAAACCTTTGATTTGTTGTTGTATTGAAAGTTCTTTGACAGGTTTCTTGATTAATCTATTTAAGGAGCACTTTATTGGAATAAAATGTGACTCCATCTTGGGCCTTAGTGAAAGGTATATCTATGTCAGTTCTGAAGAAAATAATTTTGCAAAAGAGCCATTTAGAAGGAAAATTAGACAACAAAATATATATTCTCTTTAATTTCATATGGTGAATATTTATTTTTATTTGTTTTAGTTTAGTTATTCATTTTCTAACAAAACTGTAGAACAACTTATCGTTGCATATGTCTATGAGCGGCGGTGATCCCTTAACATCAGGGAACCCCTCTGCTCTGAAAAATATTATCTGTTTGCAAACATTACAGAATTAGAAAATTATTGATTAAAATAAATAGAGCCAAAAACCATTAATTAACTACTTTATGAAATATCTTCGTGAGGTTGTATGAACAAACACAACCCCTCCGGGGGGGAGGGTGGAACATAGCGCTCAATGAGCCTAATATTATATACCTAATATGTTTCCTGCCTGCGTACTTTTTCCCAAGCCAGGTCGGGTCGGCTTTAAGTCTACTATTAGACGGCTGGGTCTCAATGTGTTAAGAATGGTCACCCATCTATAGACTGACCTGGCTAGTATTGCTTAACTTTGCAATGTGTTAACCTACACGAACCCATAACTAAACTATCGTAAACGCGTTAATCCCCGTAAAACACAATGATGTACTATTGTACAAGACATACTTTTGTGTGTGTACAGTTTTTTTTTATGTCACACATCTCACACAAGGCCGTCTGATCCCAAACTAGGCAGAGCCTGTACTATGGTAACCAGACTGCTGATAAACATACTCATATATTTTTAAATACATAGATATTATATATAAATTACACCCAGACACAGAACAAATGACCGTGCTCATCACACAATATTTGTCCTGGGTGGGAATCGAACCCACGTCCTCCGGTTCAGCAGTCAGGGTCACTAACCACTAGACCAACAGGCCCGTCGAATAATATATTTCTATTTTCAAATTTACTTGTAATTATTCAGAGAGCTATTTAGAACTACAAATTATTCATTGAGACTATAAAAACACTTATCTACATCTCCTGTAGAGTAGATATTGTGGGAATGTGGACTGTGGGAACTATACTGACAATATAGAAGTTTTAAAACATCACCGAGGCGTGAGTACAACATGGTTGAGCAGAGTTACTCTCAGACATAAATCAGTTTAAAACTTTACGCTTTAATTTTGTGGCGAATGCCTGAAATTGAAACTAGACCAGGGCTATGAGTATCGAAAATGAGTTTATTAACATTCCATGGAAGCTTGAAATATTTATACAATACCTTTAGTATAAAAGCTATGCCGTTCACTTAGTTACTTTATTCCATAAATTTCAGCTTATAGTATGCCGTTTCGTTCAACCACAAAAATATTTTTGGACTTTTCTTATTCCCGGTCGTGAGTAAGGAATGTAGGCACTAGAAATATGTTACAATTTGTTCTGCTATGTCTGAGAACATAACATTTAATAAACAAAAAAAATAAACCCTCAGCGCAAAAAATATTTTTACTTTTATGTATTGTTTAATCAAGTAAATAATACATAAAAAGTAATGTTCTTGCTCCTAAGCATCTTTTGCAAAAATCAAAAACTTAAAAAAGGTATTTATTCTTTTTCTGTTTTAATCAGGTGAAATATTTCCTGAACTGTACACAACAAGTACGACGTTAGACGATGAAGATGACAACACTGAGGCTGAAGAAGATTCTTCAGAAGTTGAAGAATGTGAACCATCTCCGTCCCCACGACCAGCACTCTCAGCGCTGCCAGCACCGCAACCTTCGCCTAAAGAAGACTCCTTAACAACTATTGATTCACAGTATTACAGGTAAACTACAGTCAATTTTAAAACACCAAGACTCGTAGTAGAAGCATTTGTTTAATCATTCAATTTCACCTCAACCTAAAACAAAGTCTTACAACAGCAGTTGAAATTCAGATAATATGTATATTTGCACATTATTACTGAATAAACTGTTCAAATCGGTGAACAGAACCAAATAAAGACAGAGCCTATCGCGTGCCAGAGGCAAATATTGTAATAACAAAATATTGTATGACACGAAATTCGCAGCTCAATAAATTAAAAGACAACATAATGTGTTTCTCAAAGCTTTTATACAAAAAAGTGAAAGGAACGACTTTGGAGAAACTCTGAAAGCTGCATAAAATAGGTAACAACGTTTTCTCTAATAAGATATAAAGCGACGCGAAAATAATTCGGCTCTTGAAGGGTAGCGGTATCTCTGGGGCGCGGACTGAATCAACGAATGAGGCGAGGGTTGTTTACAACTGAACAGTTCAGTATACGTCTATGACAATAAGCTTAATACGTAACATTGTTATCGATACATACCTTCATAAAGCAAGGGTAGGATTTAAAGTTAAGATTTTAAAATACTTTGGCAAAAAAAACCATTCAAATAAATATAGAAACATGAAAAATTGCCACGAACTTGTTAAATTGCCTTAACATGCAAATTCCCAAGGTGCCGTCCCGGAGCCGGATCGTATTGCAGTCACCTGAACCACGCCCGGCACCGATGACTAAACAAGATTGATGGTAGCGTTTTGTAGCAAGGCTCGTAATCTCGCTAATGTGTTTACTTTCCTGAATTTTGTCCTCTTTGTCTCGTGAATAACGTCTTTATATTCGACCTATTTCCCAGAAGCTCTTTTTCCTCTCAGACAACTGGATACTGCTGATAATGATAATTGATGACGCCGAAATTCGGACTGAATTAACTGGACTACGCGTCACTCCGCAAATAATCCTAACAATATTTCAAACAGATGCTCCAAGAGGTTCATATTTTTTTGGGCAAAGTTGACATTTTTGGTTAATGTAACCAAATTTATGCATCACCCTTAAGATTCTTAAGAAGAATTTGAAATGTTGATGTACCCTCAATATTTCATTTTACTTTTTTACACAGGATTAGGAATATTTTTTATTATTTTTGTTTTGAAACAAACCTGTTATTTTTAGTCAATATTCTTTTTACGTAAAATTTATTCTTTTTGTAACTAATAACAAATTTTAAGCCTAAGTTCAACGCCTAGAAAAGTTAGTATGGATTACCAACATTTTTAACCATTATTCCTCTATCACAGCTATACGGTAGCTCTAGGAGTAACGGTTGGAGCTGGCTGCTTCCTCTTGGCGCTCAATGTGCTGGTATTTGCGGGCATCTACCTTCAACGAGGACGGAGGAGGACCGTGCATCGCAGACCCCGGAGAGAAGGTCAGTTCTTAGGAAACCTGGGACTAACTACTTTATAACAGATTATCAGGTCGAGGTCATAGAAATTGATGATCGTATATCATTGAATATAAAAAAGACTGTCTATTGTAAACCAACAGTGTAGATACACTTTATTCTTATAAACATTGCCCATAATAGGTCAATACTTGGTATGCATGCACGGGCATACAACAGATATACATAACATAGTAGATAACACCTGACTTTAATACAATATTTAAATAAAAAAAAATCAAAATGGAACTTAAAACTACTTCAATTTAGTTAACACATGGAAATTAAAGTTTCATCTACGGACCATATTACGATCGATGAACAAAGAACGAGCAATAGAAATAAAACAAATTTAAATAAAGAAATTAAAACAAAACTTTGATAATACTTTGTTTTCTCCGCTATATAGTTAAAAGAAATAAAGTACATCATCATCATCATCATCAACAGCCTTTTAAGACACCCGCGAGATGAATAGGGGTAGTGGCACTCTGTATTCTTAATCCGTCATTACACGGACTTTCAAATTAGTTTACTTATACCCGTGAATCAACTAAGGTTGTCTTGTGTGCTTTGAGATATTCAATAAAATATTTAACCAAGGATTTTTTGGCAAACATAATCACTTATTTACTTCGACGATTTTTAAAGCAAATACTCGTAAGCCTGACACTGATTAAATATTTACTAAGTTTGTAAATTTTTGTGACAGTTTGTTTAATTATTTACTAAAAAGTTTAAAATTTATAATAAATTTGCTAAATCTGAAATGATTTCAAAGGTCCTGTCACAACTTTGGATGAATTTCAAATAATCTTAAGTTAAGGGTGACGTTTTATTCGGCTTGAAAGAAACGTCCATAAAGCGGTGTCAAATGCTTATCTTTCCAGACCAATGACACGTTCTTATTGTGCGGCTTAGCACATGAAAACATGAATACACACAGCATTAAGTTTGTAATATAAGTTACATTTTTTTTCAAAGTCGTATAACTTTATCTACATTTATGTTTTGATGTTACATGTTTATTGTTCAAGAGTATCTAGAATTTAGGGCTTATTTTTACGTCAGTTAATTAAAATTATTTCGATTCTTACAAAAAATAAAATAGGTTTAATTATACAGAATAGAACAGTGGACAAACGAGCAGACGAATCACCTGGCCCTCAATTCTGCTACGAGTATTTAAAACACACGATGGACTATCGTCGGAATAGTTTTGCACTTTTCGATTCTTCTACGTAAGACCAATGGTCACCTGATGAATCGTGACTGATACAAATATCGTTGATGTCTTGGTAATAGTTTGGTAAACGCTACATTTTAATTTTGTAAAGAAATGATGTAATTAATTTTCCAGATGTGGCAATATTGTTGATATCACCATTGATGAGCCATTGTTACAACATCGACAGTCTATTGACACTGTGAATTTATGTTGAATACCAATATTTTGACTGATGTCAATGGCATCTCAATAGCTAGTCAGTGGTTTGTACGTTAACATAAAATAGCAGAATGGAGGCCCTGGTTAGTGACTACCACCGGGCATGGATAAATGAAACTCAAGTTCGTACGAGTTATAATTGCGTTGCCGCCCTTTGAGTGAGAGAAATAGGGGAAGGGGTTGAGTTCGGCTCAGGTTAACTCACTCACTCAGTGAAAAGCATTTAAGGGGTTACTTACCAACGGGTTTCTGTGAAGACGTGATGTTACTTCGGACGAGCTGTCACAAATATGCCAAAGCATATTTCACGTAGTATACTTAGACATAGAATTTATGACAGTTATTATTATTATTATATTATCTTTATTCATCATCAGCCTATCGTAGTCCACTGCTGGACATAGGGCTCTCCCATTGCACGCCACTTAGATCGATTTTGGGCTTCTCGCATCCAGCTCCTGCCAGCCATCTTGCGCAAATTATCTTTATTATTATCTTATAATCATAAAATCATAGTTTTATCTTAATTTGAAACTAATAAATTTAACTTAAAAATTTAGAGTTGAAGCTAGTGTTTCATAGACTAAAGACCTAAGTTGGGATAGCAAGAAAAGTATTGTCAGTAGAAAAAGAAGTAATCCGTTTTCAAAATTCATTTTTTTAAGTTGAAACAACTACTTGCCGACTACATGTGTCTTTACGTGCCACACCTCACTGTATGTAAAACACCTGTATACATCTCTATGATCTAATTCATGTCAAATACATGTCAGGTCAAATTGAAATAAGGACGTGTGCACGAACCCTTATACATCAGTTAAATAAAGAACAAAACCTCGTGATGTTTATTCATGAGATCTTGTCCACATTTTAACTAAAAACGGCTTAAATGGATTGTGGGATCCCATCAAATGCCCTTTGTAGGAATCTAATCCCTAACCACAACACAACAGCTCAGTCGAAAGCGTCCATCTTCATCCCTTAGGGACTAAAGCCTGTTACATAATATAAGGGTGGCCCAATCCGACATCTTGTATTTATTCCCGGATCGGCTATAGCTTCACTGTTTTTTGTTATGTTTTCGATAAAAATGACACTATTCCTGATAAAGTGTTAATGTTATTGATAAATAGGTAAAGAAAAACAATTTGTGACCTTTTTTCTGTGTTTCTGGAACAATTTCTACGGTTGGCAAAGGAACTCTCATAGGATGACTTCGATGACTCCCCATTCTGACTATCTGTCCAATAACTCTTAAAGATATTAATATCGTCCCTTGAAGCTGTATAAACTTTACCACTTTAGATTTTTTCTGTGCGGAAATCCCCTCGGAAACCACTGTAGTGGTTATGTCGGACCGACTAAAAACCGCACGCTGTCTCGGGTACCAGTGTACCTTAGTAAAGATATGCCTGGGGTTCCAATACACAACTTTGTTACAGAACCTTCGACACGTGAGTTACTCAGTTTTTGTTTAGAAATAAATTACCAGTTTTAGTGTTGACAATTTATTTTAAAATTTAACATGTTGTTGTCTTCGACCGAGCTCTGCTGTGTTCAATAATAAAACACACTGCTAGAGTATATTGACGTAACTTAACTTGAAAGATTTCATTGAGAATATTGGTGTTCTTGAATGAATCGATTTACACTTCTGGGTGATCTCGATCGAATCGCATGGCGATTGCTTACATAATTGAAATCGAAGCGTATAGTATATTGTGCTTGTATTTCAACTTGTACTTTTTAATCAAAGACCCTTCTAGAAACATAGCTGCTCAAACATTATTTAGTATATATTAATAAATTACGGAATGTCGCCACCCCTATTCATCCCGTGGGTGTCGTAAGAGGCGACTAAGGGAGTTAACTACGCAGGATAATAGCACTGCAAAGAGAGAGAGTAGGCCAAAACCTCCTTTTTAAGGAGAGGCCTATGTCCAGCAGTGGACTGTTAAAGGCTGTTGATGATTGAGGAATTTGAAAATATATGTGATTTAATTTTATTGTAATTCCGTTTTAATTTAAATATTCAATATATTTTTCGTTCTATTATTATTTGTTCATTATACGAACCAACAATGAATGTCTGAGCAACACACCCTGACGAAAAGAGATTATATAAACCTACAGTGTGTAATGATGTATCGGTGTCTTTTGTGTTTTGTTGAATCTACGCTACCTGCTTAGGCATATGAGCAGATAAAAGTACATACTTAGTAGATCTGTCTATCTTCGGACTTTTTTTAGTGCAATTTAGTGCCCAAGTCCGTTCTGACCTATTAAAGACATATCAAACCATAACTTTGCATTAAAAAGAAAATGTATTGATAATACAAATGCTATATCCACTTGAGTTCCTTTTTCGTCTTTGCAGGCAATTAACACTAAAACCTTTTTGCCTGTACAGAAGATGTACTCATTTTGTTAAAGAAATTAGTCATTCAGTTTTATTTTTAATTTGCTTCTTTTTTCCTGAGGAAACATTTTTCTAGTATTACTGTTGGACGGGCTTTTTGGTCTAGTGGTTAGTGACCCTGACTGCTAAACCGGAGGTCGTGGGTTCGATTCCCACTCAGGACGAATATTGTGTGATAAGCACGGTCATTTTTTCTGTATCTGGGTGTTCATCATCATCATCATCAGCCTATCACAGTCCACTGCTGGACATAGGCCTCTCCCATTGCACGCCACTTAGATCGATTTTGGGTTTCTCGCATCCAGCTCTGGGTGTAATTTATCTATAATATTTTATATTCTATTTAAAAATATATAAGTATGTTTAACAGCAGTCTGGTTACCATAGTACAGGTTCTGTCTAGTTTGGGATCAGACGGCCGTGTGTAAGAAATATTATATTATAAAAAAACCTCCAAAAAGAAAGTCATCATATCAGCAAGTTTACGATTCCCGAAGTGCGGCACTATCATAAACCACAAGCCCGCTTCTCACTTTATCCTCCCGTCGCTTGTAATACATAGTGCAAGTGATGCCCAAGTGCTTTGTTATTCCCAGTAGGGTCGGTGATAAGTCTCCTGCAGGGGATAGTGGTAGGAAGGTTACGGCAATCAAAACCGTTGAGGGTTGTTTATTTTTAGGTTCTTTGTACAATTTCAAATACCACAGTATCTCATGTCACTACTTGCCTACATGGAATAAAACTTCTAAATCTAAAAACTGTAAGCCGCTTCACTACTTGATAAAGAGCCAGTGTTGTACCTAAACCTCACATCAACAGCCTTTACTAGTCCACTACTGGACACAGGCCTCTCCTCAGAAAGGCGGTTTTGGCCTACTATACCACGCTGGCCAGACGGGTTGGTATAGGGTTTGTTTCAAGTTTTCCTTCTCTTTGCAGTGCTGTTGTTTTGCGTAGTTTACTCCTTTAGACGGCTCTTACGACACCCTCGAGATGAATAGGGGTGGTGACACTCTGTATTCTAAATCCGTCACCACACGGAGACACTGTATGGACTGCGTGAGAGGATATGGCTAGGGAGGGATAAAGCAGTGAACTGACGAGTAATAGAGTAGAATGGAAGAAGAAAATTCATTGCACCGACCTCAAATAACTTTGGGCAAAGAGAAGATTATGATTAGTCAGTGAATGCCTGTGAGGCCTTAAATCTACATTTTTATACAGGAGACGGAAATGACTGTTCCCCTGAAGGTGATCCAAATTTTGTTGCAGTTCTTCACGCAAAAATGGAACAGCTATTTTATAACAATTTTTATCTAAATGTTAGACATTGTGTGCCGACTGAAGTGTCAACTAATCTCATAGATAATAATCCAGTATTCATTAGTGATTGAGTGACTGACGCTGTGTTGACCATGTAGGTTAGGTCACTTACGCAGTGTCAATTATATTTAAAAATAAACTTTACTTAGATATAGCATTTTTACTGTTCATCTATAAATAAAATACAACACTTTTCATTTTTTAAATAAATATCTACATACAAATATTTATATATACTTACATGGTACTTCAATATACGTTAAGTAAACTACAGTTTAATTGAGAACTGCTAACATGTTATATAAACATTTTTATTACTAAATAAAATTATATTACTAAAATTTAACCACTTATATTAGTTATATGATTTTCTTTTCCATTATGATACACAAACGCTTGTCTCACAACCGATAACCGATTCATTAAAAAAATCTACCAAATGTTACTCGATTTTTTACTTTTACACAGATATAGTACGATTTGTTTTCATTTTGCATGAACACTGAAGTTTTAACTCGCAATAATATCTACAAAAACAATTGTCACAAATTGGCTTTTTTGTATGTCTCTTATTTAAAGTCACTGTAATAACAGCATCGAATTTGGATCACTGATTGTGCGTTAGAACCATATTTATGATTAATAAAGTCTCCGGCAACACTGGTTATAGTACCTAAACCTAATCTGGTTTAATCAAATATACACATTATACACTATATTTACAGGCATCTGGCGTTATCGAAATTGACCAAAGCTTGCTAGCTAAAGTTGTGTTTACGTAACGAATTGTAATATTGAAAATGGAGCCAGGCTAAACGCTCAACTTATGTACTTAATGGCAATCACTAACATTTCAAAACAAATTTCGACCATCATTTATCGTATTTGGGCGGATTATTTCAAATGAATTTCGTTCACGATATTTATGCCATCGGCACGGGGGCAACGCGTTTGTGACTCCTAAGTTGCAGGCGTTCATGGGCGGCGGTAATCACTTTCCATTAGGTGACCCGTCTGCTCGTTTGCCCCCTCTTCCATTAAAAAAAATCCTATTTGGTTAGGTGTAAGCTAATTAAAAATGTTACCAAATAAAATTATTAGACAGAACAAATAACCAAAGCAAGAAGAGATATATCAGAATAGCTACAGAACAATTGGTGCAATTCCGAGACTCTGTTTCGGTGGCCCAACAGATCGTACGACAACTATAAAATTTATTAGATATATTCAGTACGATTTATCTGCAGCATGTGAGGTCCCATTCAGCCGCAATTTCAATGCAGTTCCTTCTTCGTAATCTACTGCAAACTTGAAGATTTCACTTGAATATTAAAATACTATAGTATTTTAGCTCAAAAGAGAATTTATTTTCTCAAGTGACGGTTGCAATCTGCTCTGAGACATATAGTTGTTATGTGACCGAATGAGACTTCTGCTTTTGAAGTAGAGTATGAATTTTACAACGTCCTTTGAGGTGAAGTGTTTTTGCATAATTCACAAAGAAGTTTGAATAAACTTAAAGCACGAAGTTGTTGTGTTCTAATTTTATTTTATATATTCTGCATTTTCAATTTAATTAAAAAACTCGAATAAAAAATCCAATTAAGTTGTTTGTGATTTATAAATAACATCAAATGTATGAGAGTTTTTGTTTTAATCATCGGTGTTTCTGTTGTGTTGTTAAATAAGAAATGCACTCACACAAACGCCCTCACGTACCACATACGCACACGCACATATTCTCGAATAAACCTGCTTAAAATCTTGACTTTAATTTTGTAATTTGTCAGGCCCGAAATCAGAGACAAATCACTATCGTTCGTAAAAATTTCTTGCCTAAAATAATGTCATTTTTTATGTGAGTCAAAATTTTCAGTCTCTTCCTTCCAGCAAAAATGTATATTTCTAATTCCAGTTGTTGTTACAGGTAGCTGCAACAGCCGCAGCGGTGGTTCACTAAGCAACGAACCCGCCTTCATAACTTCACCACGAAAGAGCACACTCAAGGTAACCATATTGTTTGATTTACTATTTTAACTTTATAATTTTGATTGATGGCTGATTTCCAACTATTGTTGTAACTATTATACGAATCAATCATTAACTATATAGCCTACTTTAAATAAAACAAACACGAATTTACTGACGGACTATATTAAAAATAAAAAAAATTACACTAATACCTCCTAGTTTCATCATTAGATCTTTACTACTAAACGGTTGGGTTCAACAATAAAAATCATATTATATCAAACTCGAAACCTTTAGTAGCTACTGAAGAGTTCCATTACATCCTCTCGTGACTATTTTTCATCAGATTAGCTGCAAGAGACCAACATATAGAATAATCATTCAAACTTCATCAACATATAAAGTGACATTTTTGTAAGACAATTAAAAGTAGATTAAGTGGCTTCCAAATTACTGTATACAGTTACAAGTAAAACTAATAAACGAGTCTTAGAAACGGACGCAGTTTGTTAAAATGAACCGATAAATATTACAAATTGGTCAGTCAAGTTAACGTAAGTTTATTTTTTGTTTTTGTTTTCGAAAAGTCACTAAAGAAGTTATCAGTAGCGCCACCGAAGAGTTACACCCCCAATAAAAGTACCTCAGAAACCGGGAATCAGTAACATATTCAAGAAATAATGGTATATTACATGCCACATCACATCATCACATCAACAGCCTTTAATAGTTCACTACTGGACATAGGCCTCTCCTTAGAAAGGAGGTTTTGGCCTACTATACCACGCTGGCCACACGGGATGGTATAGGGTTTGTGTTAAGTTTTCCTTCTCTCTGCAGTGCTGTTGTTCTGCGTAGTTTTTTTCCCTTAGGCGGCTCTTGATACTCTGTATTCTTAATCCGTCACCACATGTTATTACATGTTCAAAGTCAAATTTAAAAACAGCGTCTCCATGTCTCCCTTGTCGTATTTTATTGTTCTAACTCAGAGCTCATTGTCGTACAGATAAGGTAACTTTTACCTTTAGTGAACATTCATAGAACAGAACACTGACTTCAGACTAACTCTTTTGAATTTAACATCTTACGACTTTAACATTTGAATGACTTTAAACGTAGTAGTGACTTGAATTTCTAATAGATAATTTGTATTCTGAGTTACTTATAATCAGTTGCCAAATTATGTTCCGTCTGCAGGCTTACACCTTAATATAGCTCCCTCACCCTATCCCAGGTGCTCCCACCAGCACCAGGCACCCTATTTTTCTGTGCTGGAACCCCTTCTGATACCACCAACCGGTGGAATGGTTATGCCGGACTCGAACCGAGCAAAAACCGCATGCTGTCTCGAGTGCCAGTTGCTGTGGAGCCAGGTGTACCCTAGAAAGGAAATCCCTAGTACCCCGACGTACCTTGTAGATGACCCCCTCCTGTGTGGGAACCCCTATGTTTTCTTTGTGTGTGTATATTGAGCGACAATACCAGGACCGCTTGCATTGTAGTCAAACACGCTACCAAGCGGCTACGCCCCACATTGTGACATACTGTACGAGTTTACCGTTGGGGAAAACGAGTTCTTGAGTGGAGACCGCGTCTCGGCAAACGTAGTGTAGGACGTCCACAGGCCAGGTGCAGTGACGATTTGCGCAAGATGGCAGGAGCTGGATGCGAGAAGCCCAAAATCGATCTAAGTGGCGTGCAATGGGAGAGGCCTATGTCCAGCAGTGGACTGCGATAGGCTGATGATGATGATGTACGAGTTTACAACACGAAGCAAAACTGGATTTTAATAACAACAAACAATGTTAGAATTCCTTTATTAAAGACACTTAAAGATTATTTGCTTCTTATAAAGCATTCTTAAATAGCTAGAAATTACATCACTTCAATAAATCTTCTTACCTGGTGGTATAACTCACTGCGCTCAGTCGAGCACGACAGAGGGGACAGCTATTTTCTAGAATGCAGTCTAACCCATTTGTATTATTTGCGTTTATAAAATCACTTCTATAATTTTAAATGAAATATATTTTTAGACTTTTCTGTCTTTGTATATTGCTAATTCAGTGATGAATTATTTAATAATCGAGTTGAATTATTCAAATATAGATATTCCAATAACTTTTAAAACGATCATAAATAAAACTTACTAGTAATTGTGTTTACTATTACTTTTTTTTTAAATCTCTTAACTGTATTAATTTTGTTGATTTTTGTCTTTTTTTTGTCCCTCTCACTCTCTGAGGAATTTGGTTTTGTGTACACTCTAAAATAGTCCTCTAAGTTATAGCTAATATAACAACCAATTAACATATCTTTCGATTTCCACAGCGCAGCTGCGAGTCAGAACTAAAAGAGAGGCCGGTCTCAGGAGCGCAACCTCCAAAAAAGCGAGTGCAGATACAAGAGATATCTGTATAGACGAATTCTGAAGCCGGACAGACATCTTGTAAATACACATACAATCTAAGAGAAAAAATAAGTACTTTTAAAAAGACTTAAAGGTTTTGAATGTTGTTTTATATTAAAAAGTGAGTTATGAAGAACAATGGATAATGTATTTGTGTCTATTTAACATTCTGGGTTTACAGAACTCAGAGGTCATCACCATAGTTTGTGAGTGTTTATTATGATCACTTTTATCACCAGATGAGTGATGGTAAACAATTGTTGAAGGTGACTCAGTACTGTCGTACTGAAGTTAGGTTACAAGCGGATCGTGTGAGAGTTAGACACGGTCGAATGGAGTATTCGCTCTGTTGATCAGCAGCGTCGAACCGCAGGCTATGTTATATGCAAGCTATATAATATACACTAGTGAGTGACCTGATGACTCGCGTAGCAACGGAATACATCGCCAGTTGTAACAGTTAACCTGCGTTGGAGTAACGAAATAAGCCAGCGATGGTGTTGTATTTTGCTATGTGCTCGCTAGGTTATCTGTTGATTGGTATGGCCGATTGTCAGTGATGTATTCTACCATTTATGTATCTACCTCCTGACCAATTAACTGGCTTAGTGATTTCTGTTAAAATTATTGTTCATCTTGAATTTATATAGTCTACTTCAGTGATTAGACGAGTTTTTTACGAACTGTTTCTATATTATCGCACCTTTAATAATAAACTGAATTAATTCAAAATTTACGTTTTTCGAGTTTTCAACAAATACCAAATCAACTTCATCAGTAGAACACGAACAATCCAACAGACGACTCGATACCATGAAAATGGCAGAGATAAGAGATCGTCGTTCTCTTTTTGACGAACTCGCACGTACATGAATGTCAAACTTTAAATGCGATTTCCCACAATATTGAAATTCTAAGTTAATTCAGTTTATGAATAAAGGTGCGTTATGTAATAGTTGGTATATAAAGGAATTAAAGTTTGAGTTGGGAACTCTACGTTTTGGTTAATTTGTGAAGATCTGTTATCGTGTATGTACATAAACATAAATATATTTATTATTAGTTACTTTATAACTGCGACACGCAGCTGTATGACGAACTTTGTATATAAATACTATTAGTCTCTAATAATATAACATTGTAAATATTAGGCCAACGGGCGTACTCTGTGAACTTTGATGATTTTATCATCCATGAAAGGAGGTTTAATAAAGACCATTTTTTCCTGAATATAACTTTTATTTATCTCCCAAAATATATTTTATTGTGGCTAAAAGCTATATTGATGCAATCTAAAGGATAATTAAGGATTTTCATTGACAAATGTATCTATTTTGAAAACAAAACAAGCTTCAAAGTATTAAGATCCAAGATATGTCAAGTAAACAGTCTGTTATCTAAATAAAGATTTGAAATTCCAGCTATTTACGGACTAAGAAAATGCTCACCATTTTATAAAATAATTAATAGGTATTTTAAATTATAATTTCCCTTGGACGAGATGGTATTTCTGATAAATTGGTGCGTAATTAATTTCACAGCGAAGGTTATCTGAGATCGGGGGTCGAAGGTGACTTTGCATTATGCCTTCAACTGTACACTCAGCAAAACTTTTATACCCAAAGTTGTAAGTAAAAAAATCCTGCCGAGTCTCCCAAACAACAAAATTATACATTTCTTACTGTCCGCAGAACCCGCCTTCATTATCAGTGTTAAAACTTTTGTGCAAGATAAATAATCCTTTAAAAAAATGATAAACGACCTTAAATTATAAAATGTTGTATAAAGTAACTGACCCGAGCTCTTTCAAAAGCAATCTCGCCAAATTCATTTTAAAAGTAAAAACAGTGCCAAGAAAGTGTCACAAACATTCTAACACAAAAATTTGACTTCGCATACAAATTGGAGAGGAATATTTTGTTTTAAATTAAAAGTACTACATAGTTGAAGGTATGTTTGTAGGTAGAAGCGGAATTGTGGAGTAACGATCGTTTCAGACAGGAAAGAGGAAGTTAGTGATTGTACGAAGAAGAGATCCCAAGCTCAGGATAAAGATATGAATCTCCGCCAGAGATATAAACTTTGCGAACTTTCCTTTTTTTTGAAAGAGTACTTAATCTATAAATCCTTGGACCTTTTGAATAATTTTACTAAACGCGCTCTCCTGAGGATTTATTGTTATATTATTTATTCAAACCATATTTATTTTCCGCTTTAAGAGGCGAACTAGATCCAAAGATAGGGATGTAATATTTGTATCTTAACGAGGGTGAAAAGGTTTTACGCAAATCGAAATTACATTCATATTTACTGTGAGAATATATTTATATTATACTTAAATAAAATATATATTTGTATCTACGGCTCACTCACTTTAGATGATAAGGGCGTTTATAAAAGGCTTTGACTGATGTTCTGTGTGATTGGTTTAGTTACAGAGCCTATAACATATTTCATTTTAATGCTTTTACTAATAGCTGCTTTGTTTTATCAGATTACTTTTAGTGTAGCTATACTCTAAAGTGTAACAGGGTGCACAAATGGCATAAAATCTAGGTTAGAACTACTACTATGTTGTTTTTAAAGACAACGCCCGCATTAGGAATATATTCCTGTGTCGCGGGGGACTTTACGAACATACATGAAATAGACACAAAGAACACCCAGACTCAGAACAACAATTTGTGGATTACACAAAGTGTCGTCCCATGTGAGGTTTGAACCCACAACACTCGGCGTAGTAGGAAGCGGCGTGGCGACCACTTAAACCACTACGCCATCCGTGCAGTCTAGTATGAGTATGTGAGAGAGTATGTAATATGAGTGTTTTATTTTATCTTCGTAATTTTATGTTATTATGCCTACCCGTAAAGTCCATATTATACTTATAGAAGTAGATCAGATCATCATCACATCAACAGCCTATACTAGTCCACTGCTGGACATAGGCCTCTCCTTAGAAAGGAGGTTCATCAAGGAGGAGATCAGATATTTTTGTAAAAAGAAACCTGTTTCCGTCTTATGGAAAAGGTACTTTTAAACAATTAAACCTGTCACCTAATTTGTGAGCATGTTTTTATGATATAATTATCAGTTTTTAGTTTTTCACAACCACAACGCACACCCAAACCGCAACCACAAATTTGACTATTCTATAAAACTTATTTTATTACTTTAAAATGCATTAAAATTATACTAGTAAACACTAGCATTCGTTACCAACGAGGATTTTTAAACCATTAATGTGTGTGAATTTTCTCCAGTCATATAAAATACATTACATTTCTTCTAAATAAGAGAAAGACAGCAAAACCTACTGTATTTGAAATTCCATTTCGAGATGAGGTTTTCACCACGGGAGACGCATTACATAGCAACAAGCGGCCCGAAAACATTAAAACTTTGATTGCTCCTGGCGCATACAACACGAAAAATAGCTGCCTTTATTAAATTCACAAACAAAACGAGAGACGAAAGGGGCCGGCCCAGGGCTAAACTCAAAAACAATCCCCATTGAATTGATTACCCCCTACGTTTTATTGTAGAGTGCAGTTAATTTATGATCAGAGTTGAATAATGAGGGGGGGAAACGGACGCGTATATCATCAATCATACTGTACGATGTCGGCTGTGATGAGATTTCAAAGTTCCTTTAGCTGAGTGGGTAAGCTTGCAAGCAGTAATCACTTTATTTTCTTTTGATAAACTTTGTGTTAAAGACACGATGTCTCTGTTCTTGAAACTTGTGGAGTGTTTTCTTTTGTGTGGAATAACAAATTGCTATTGTTCCGTTTTTTTTTTTGCAGAGAATATTTGAATCGGTATTTGTGAGTACAAATTACGAAATTAGTACAGGGGACTTCCCGAATGAATTTAAATTGTAATATTCCTACATACACTTACACTTTAGTAGTATTAAATTTGTATTTCTAACCCTATCTTGATAAGGCGTGAGGGGTCGGGTCTTCTCCAATAAACCATAATTATTTACAGCCCAACGTCACGAAATAAGTAGTTAATTATTTAGACACGATTTCTTTGATGATGAAATCAACGAACGTACTAAAAGTAATGTGTAAGGTTGCTATGCAATTAAAATCAAGTAGATATTTATATAAGATAGATATTTACTAAAAAAATTCTACGCGCCTGTTGCTCAACTAGTTATCTATCCTAACAGCTAAGTCTGAGTTAGTGGTTCCATTAAGACTTAGAACAAGTATTGTGTGATGAACATAATCCTTTATTTTATGTCTGGGTGTAATTTATTCATGATATATATAAATATGTGTTTTTTTTTAACATATGTGCTCGGTTCGCGTTAAACGTGTGTGTACTTTAAACATCCCTCTAACTGATTTGTCAAATCAAATAATACTGAGTTTCCCGGGTCTCTTGTAACTATCTCTAACTATAAACTAAACAAAATCGCTTTTACCGATTGCGAGAGGAAAAATGTAACACACCAAATAGATACTTTCTCCGTTTATATACCTACACAAGTAGCTGTACGTGTGGCACAGTGTGGTCGCATTGATGAGAAACAAGTAACAAAAATGTAACACACCAAATAGATTCTTTCTCCGTTTATATACCTACACAAGTAGCTGTACGTGTGGCACAGTGTGGTCGCATTGATGAGAAACAAGTAACAAAAATGTAACACACCAAATAGATTCTTTCTCCGTTTATATACCTACACAAGTAGCTGTACGTGTGGCACAGTGTGGTCGCGTTGATGAGAAACAAGTAACAAAAATGTAACACACCAAATAGATTCTTTCTCCGTTTATATACCTACACAAGTAGCTGTACGTGTGGCACAGTGTGGTCGCATTGATGAGAAACAAGTAACAAAAATGTAACACACCAAATAGATTCTTTCTCCGTTTATATACCTACACAAGTAGCTGTACGTGTGGCACAGTGTGGTCGCATTGATGAGAAACAAGTAACAAAAATGTAACACACCAAATAGATTCTTTCTCCGTTTATATACCTACACAAGTAG